GGTCATACAACTGTGTATACATTTGTAACTCTTAATTTAAGTCTTAATTTCATGCCCTCTTCCTAGCTCTGTTCCTTCCTTCTCACTTACTTTTAATTCGTTATCTTAATATACATAGTACTTGTTAAAGGCCAAATTAAATCATTTCTAAATCAATGCATAGGTGCAAATAAGTAAGCAAGTAGGTGAATAAATTACTAAGATCCTTCATAATATTAATATTTCAGCCACGTCTCCTCTCAGCCTCACCTTTTCCCAAAAAGAAAAGCTTTCTATATTTTTAGTTTGTCGTTATCCAACTCATGTATTTCTATGAGCAGTTCATTAGGTGCTAAAGTGAGGAATGGAGTTTTGAAGGATAATTTGAGGGGTGATAAACACACAGAAACAGCAGAGGTATGTGAGGGGAATGGATGAAAAGGTGGAGATTTTTTAAGTCACATGATGATGGTCCAGGTATTCACAATGCAATGTTTCACAAACGCAAATCAATACCTTGAGTTATTTTGAAATTACTTTTATTGCTATCCTGGGTTCCTTTGACTATACCACTGTTCTGAAAGTGTTAGGTCTTAAGTCAGATGGATCATGTCTTTCTAATCATATTCTAGGATCTGTTAGAGAGGAATTATCAGAAAGTATTGCCCTCAGTATAGGGGAGCTCATCCTGTGCCTTCCATGGAGAATTCAGAAAAGCAAAGAAGAGAACTAAAGGTCTTCTAGAAGAGAAAACTACATAAATAAAGGTCTGAAGCTGAGAATAAACAATAATACAAGTGAAAGGTATGGAGTAAATGTGTCTTAAGAGATGAGAAGGGAGACTAACAACAGAGAAAGCTATTGGGTACTCCAGGCAATAAGCCAGCCAGTGTGGGCCAAAAAGAAGCTACAACAGATTCTTGAGCAGAAGAGCAATATAATGAAAACAGTATTTGAAACATGTTAAATGATAGCTAAATGGACTAAGGCTATCGTAATGGATTGGATAGAAAGGATAGTTCTTTTTTTTTTAAGATTTTATTTATTTATTCGAGAAACAGATAGAGAGGCAGAGACACGGGGAGAGGGAGAAGCAGGCTCCATGCAGGAAGCCTGACGTGGGACTCGATCCTGGGTCTCCAGGATCACGCCCTGGGCTGAAGGCAGCACTAAACCACTGAGCCACTGGGGCTGCCCAGAAAGGATAGTTCTAAGAGAACTGTTGAGTAAGAATCAACTGAACACGATAATACACTAGAAATAGGCAAAGCAGAGCACAATATGAAAACTATAATCAAGATTCTACCCTGGAACTGTTTAAGAATGATGACATTCTTGATGTATTAGGAATACAAAAGACACTATGCATGGAGACAAGGGCAGAGTGGAAGGAAAGGTCAGTTGAGGACATCATAGTGGATTTCCAGTAATGACAGTGAGTCATTTGAAAATATGGGCAGCTGGACATACAATGTTGTGGTAAAGGTAAGCGCTCAGAGTTGGAGATGCAAAGCTAGAAACCATCTGTCTAGAGGTTATAGGGTAAGTCATGTGGACAAAAGAGCAATAAAAAATGGGGTATCTTTTTGTTTTTGAAAAACTTTTATCTTAATACAGATGGTCCTGACTTACGATGGTTCTACTGAGATTTTTCAGTTTTATGATGCTGTGAAAGTGATATGCAGGGACGCCTGGGTGGCTCAGCTGTTAAGCACCTGTCTTCAGCCCAGGGCGTGATCCTGGAGTCCCGGGATCGAGTCCCACATCAGGCTCCCTGCCTCTCTATGAAGTCTGCCTCTCTCTCTTTGCCTATGTCTCTACCTCTCTCTTTGTCTCTCATGAATAATTTAAAATCTTAGAGAGAGAGAGAGAGAGAGAGAGAGAGATGCATTCAGTAGAAACCGCACCTCAAATTTTGAGATTTTTTTACCTTTTTCCAGGCTAGTGATATACTGCATGATACTCTCATGATGCTGGGTGGTGGCAGCAAGGCGCAGCTCCAGGAGCCATGTGAGGGTAAACACTCATACTATTACAACTACTCTGTACCCATACAGCCATTCTGTTACTCACTTTCAGTACAGGAGTCAAGATATTACATGATATATGCAGCACTTTATTATAAAATAGGTTTTGTATTAGATGATTTTGTCCAATTAAAGGCTAATGCGAGTAGCTGGGGTACATTTAAGGTAGGTGAGGCTAAGCTGTTTTGGTAGGGTAGGTACATTAAATGCATTTTTGACTGAAAAATATTTTCAACTTGTGATGAGTTTATCAGGCTATAATCCCATCTCAAGTCAAAATGATCTGTAAAATTACATAGTTTTCATTATATGAAATTCAGAAAACATAGCAAATGATACATGAAAAATATTAAAGTTGTTTGTAATCCTACCATACAAAGATAAAAACAATAAGCTCCCCAGCATATATCCTTTCAATTTTGTTTTTCTATACATATTTTTAAATGCTATATGTAAACTAGTATGGCATAGTTCAACACTTTCATTTGTGTTCCACTTTCCAATAACTGTTCCTCCCCTAAGAAACATGGATCTCATATCCAGCAAGCTTGAGGAATCCACATACTAAATCCCTCTGTTGGAGATAAACACCAGAGATTAGTCCATATGTACCAATACATTAGTACATAAGAAGAGACTTTACATAACAAATAACTGATAATTCTAGATTTTTTATGCACATCTATTAATATCATTCTGAACATCTGTTCTCCCACTGACAGGTGAAGTTGTAGTTGTCAGGGGCTAGAGCTTTGGAAGCAGACAAGCCTAGGTTCTGAGTCTGCCTCCCAGCATGGTTCTCTTCAGAAACTTGCCACCTACACGTCACTTTACTCTCCATGAAAGAAGCCCAGAAATAGGTGGCCTACAGATTGGTGTGATATTTAAAAGAGATAATATACATGAAGCATCTAGAATGTCTGGTACACAGTTGTTTTTTTTTTTTTTTAATTTTATGATAGTCACAGAGAGAGAGAGGCAGAGACATAGGCAGAGGGAGAAGTAGGCTCCATGCACCGGGAGCCCAATGTGGGATTTGATCCCGGGTCTCCAGGATCGCGCCCTGGGCCAAAGGCAGGCGCCAAACCGCTGTGCCACCCAGGGATCCCTGGTACACAGTTTTTGTGAGAAAAACTGGGCTGGTTTTGAGGATGTGATAATGACTAACTGTAGCTTCCCTTTAACTATAAATCATTAATTATTTGTCATTTAATATTTTTCAAAATCAACCCTTTTAATGACTCCACAATAATGTGTCATATGACCATCCCATATTTGACTTGCCTAATTCTATACTGTGAGACATTTATTTCCATTTTTTTCTTTCACAAATAATGTTTCAATGGATAGCCTCACATATAAAGTTTCACCAGCTGCTCTGATAAATTCCTTTATGATTGATTCCTAGAAATGAAGTTTCTGGATAAAGAGGAATAATATCTGCAAGGTTTTTGACACAGGTTCCTAAACTGTCCTCCAGAAAGCTTGTACCAAACTTCATTTCTATTAAAGTTGAGTAGTGACTGCCATGTTCTAATATTTGTGTTAGGATAATAGTGGAGATTGATTACTACACAGAAGCAGAAAGAAAGAAAAGTCTTATTACATTTAGGCTTGCTATAGGCATGGAAGAGAGAAAGGAGTTAAACACAAGAAGCAGCTATGTGAAAGATAAACCCATTCCCATGCTGACTTTCCAAGCTTCTAGGTAAGGCTGAACAAACCTGAAGGTGGAAGTCTTACAAAAGCAATGCCTAAGTGGGGATAATCTCAATGGTTTTAGATTAAGATGAAAGTACTAATACTAATAGATTAAAACCACTCTGATAACATGGAGAAAAAATAGGTTGAGAAGCTTGGGAACTCATAAAAATGACACAGATTTTTTGTTTGTTTAATTCACACTATAAAAGATTCAATTGTTTAATTTATTTTTTCAATAATGAGTATTAGAAAGTCAGCTATTTAATTCTCGATGACATGAGTCTATTGACATGCAAGCTGCTGGGTACTGAGATGACAGGGTACTGAAGGTATTCCGTTTCTAGAAATCAATCATAAGGAATTCATCAGAGATGGTGAAGATGTGTTATTTGTAGATAAAGTAACAACAATATACTAAGGTTCTCAAAGGTAGGGTCTATGTGTCACTGATCTCAGATTCCCCATTTCCTATATAGAGACAGCGACTTAATAGGTAAACAGGATTTATTTGCTGTGTTTATGGAGATTTTGTAGATGAGGTTTACACACTCTGTATTTATGGGTAGGACTCATTCCTCAAGAGTGAGAGACAGTCAATTTAGAGAGGGAAATCACTGCTAGTGTATTTCCAAGATGAATCAAGAATATATGGAGATTAACAGTATCTCCTTCAGCTATACATGATATATTTATTCACAGATACCAAGGAAAGGTACTTTCCAATGATATATTCAGCAAAGAATCAAACTGACATTCTATATAATGCCACAAAATGTCATCAGATTATTCTGCAAGTATATTTCATGCTTTAAATGATTTTTCTTATGTTTAAATGCTGTTAATTAAATAATAAAAGTGAAAGACACTATTCATAATTTTTAAAGTTTCTTCTCTCTCAACTTTTACCTAAGGCCCTAGTTAGTTACATGAATTATCCAGTTTTGCTGTCGTTTTTTGATAATTAGTTGGAGGACTGTCAAATCCCTAGTCATAGATCAAGAAAGATGAATTTTAAAATGGCTATGCAATTAGCTAAAATAGAACTAAATTCCAAAAATTCACATTTTTCCATTACATCAGGAAAGATATAAGTTAGCAGAATGATTATAAAGCTTGTATATTGGATTCTTGTGCTAATAAAAAGAGAAGTAATACTTTTGACTTACCTGTGTATTATAAAAATTTGTAAGTTCTTTTTGTGAGATACATTTATCTCCATGGATAAAAGTTTCTAGTAAACTTTAGAGGGATCATAGAATTATACATAGTGTAGTGTTTAGAGGTTCTCACCTGAGTAAAGAAGGATAGAAATGTGATATGCAAGAAAACCAATGTAATGGTTGCTTGAAAAACGGTTTTATGGAATCCGAAGCAGTATCATCCAACCCATGCTGGAAAGTCCTGGGGGAAATAAAATAACTATTTCAGAATACACAGGAAACATTAACCATGAAAACCATCAAAACTTTTTATTTTCACTGAGTATTCCAAGTTAATGGCTTTTTGTTGTTGTTTGTTTGTTTTAAACAGAGAGAGCATGTGTGATTGGGGAGGAGCAGAGAGAGAATCTTAAGTAGACTCCATGTTCAGCAGGGAGCCCCAGGCTTAATCTCATGACTCTAAGATTATGACTTGACTTGAAATCAAGAGTCGATTGCTTAATTGACTTACCTACCCAGGCACTCCTTGAAGTTAACGATTTTACACAAAATGGTATTGTGCTAGAATGGATAACACAACCATCCACTTGGGATCTATGTTAATAGGTAATTCAGGGCCCCTATACAGCAATCCTTACACTCGGAAAAGTAAGACAATATCACTATTATGCAAAATCTCCTGTTATAAAATATGTAAAAAATAAATGAATAAAGAATAGGACAGTGAATATCATTTATATTACCCTCTTCAACCTGGATCCAATAAATATCAATATTTTGTCACATTTGCTTCATTAATGTAAAAATGTTTAGCATAAAGTTACCTCTCTTTATTCTTTAAAGTGACTTGTAAATACTAAACAATTAATGAGAATTTATAATTAATTTTGTACGCTCCTAGGAGCCTACAGAGGGCTTATAAAGAAGAATTTAATTATAAAATATATGACTATGATTTCAAAATTTAAACAATTTGGCCAGAATATCTGGTCTACAATTATCTTTGGAGAAGTGACTATAACATTTTTCTAGGTTGGCCCAAATTCAACAATAAATCTTGAGGTAATAAGAAAGAATTTGCTACATAAAATCTTTAGTAGGTAGCTTGGCTAATAAAATTTTTATCACAACAGGAGACTATATTTGCCTACATGGAGTTAAGAGTAACAACTGGGAACATTTTAGAAATGGAATTGTTTGTGGCACTATCTCTCTTTATATATAATACAGGAGCAACAGCATATTTTAAATAATATGAAGAACAGAATTCCACTTTGAAAACACATTCTGACCCTTTCATTCCATATCTTGCTTCTTGTATTCTCACATTTCCCAAATATGACCTGTCTCTCCCCAGTTTGTCTTGCCACATAGAACACCTACTAATTAAATACACTGATATTTTTTAGACTTTTAATGTATCTCTTCCTTCAAAGTCATTTTTTTCTTCCTGAATTTCAGAAAGAACAAAATTTCCTAAATAGACTTCAAAATGAGGCTGTCATGTTTCCAATCCCTACATTACACTGTGTGAACTAAGCAGAAGCTTAGGTCAGGATACCACAATATGCTTTTATAAGGAATCTGAACTTTGTGTCAGCAATGAGGAATCACTGGAGAGTTTATAGCATGGGAGTTTTATCAGCTATTTTATATTTTAGAAAAATCACTTGTGTAATAGTGTGGAGGAATTTGGAGGGATCAAGGTTGGAGGAAGGGGGATAATAAGATGATACTTCAGTAGAACAAACAGAGGAAGACAACATCCTAAACCAAAGTAAAAAGCAGAGGAGAGAGTAAGTATGAGGCAAGTATAAAGAACATAAACATAAAATTAACAGAATTAACAATATTCATTCTCTAAAACATGGGGTTGGAGATGGCTAAAAGGAGAAGGTAGAAAGGAGAAGAGTTATGGGTTAACAGAAACCTGGGAGGACTTGCAGCATAGTTTCAGATATGTTGAGGGAGCTGCAGGCATTGAAGTACATCCAAAGAGAGACATCCAGAAGAAATTTGGATTTGCCAATGTAGCATATACAGGAGATATGTGAGTGGAAGATATTGCTGTGGAAGTCATTACCATATTGGCAAACCTATGGGAATGGATGAATTCACCCAAAGAAAGGGTGTAAGAGGAAAAGATGGTTAAGAACAGAGCTGTGGAACACACCAACATTTAAAGGGTGAGGTGAGAAAGTGAAGCACTCAAATGAAACCAAGAAGTAATAATCCAAGATGTAGGCAAAGATCCAGGACAAGGTGATGTTAGGGAAACCAAGGGAAGAGAAATGGGACCAATAGTGATAAAAGTTGTAGAGAAGGTAATTGAATGGAGGGACAAAAATTGGAGTTAGTGACTGGATAGGCATGGATGACCTGGCCCGTGTTGGTTTGGCATGATGAGGGCAGTTGTAATGCATTGAAGGACGGGTGTCAAAGTGGAGACAATGAGTGCAAACTATGTTTTAGAAGGGACATACAATAATAGAGAAAGAATATCCTTTTAATATAAAGGAGACTTTGGGGGAAAGAACCAGAAGACAGAAAGAATATTTAGAAGAGTATGGCCAGTTGAGTAGGAGGTGGATGTGATCAAGAGCTCAGGTGAAAAAATCTGCTTTGGCTGGAAAGAGAGACACATTGACTGTCAAAGAATTACAGGTGAGTAAGGATTGAGATAATTATTAAAAATGGAAATGAGAAGTTAACATTCATGGTGGTCTAAGTACAGGGCAACCAACAGTGGAATGGGGCAAAGTGGAAATTTTGGCTAAAGTGGAGGAGGATGGAAGAGAAAGCCACCCAGAGGCAGGACAAAGAACAGAGTTGTCACATTGTACAAAAGGCCAACTAAGTGACTTTGCCAGCAGTGTTCCAAATTCCAGACAGACAGGCCAAGTGAGTGAGGGTAGAGACAAGGGACATGCACTAGCTAGAGAGGTAGGAAGAGAGATCTCAAAGGAAATCAGGCTGCAGGAACAGAATGAGATAAGAGATGAAGGGCTTGATGGGAGGCCATAGGGAGGGAACAATTTGGAGGATACCACTGGAGGCTGTGGTATCCTAGCCTCTGCCTAATTTGCCACATACTTTGTTGAGCCCTTTGCATGAAGCACGATTTCTCTAGTTAACTGAGGGGCAGGGGCAGTTCATTTCTCCAAGAATGAATACCTTAGCTAGGATGTACCCTCTGTCATGTTCACCTGGTTCTCTAGACTGCTCTACCTCAAAACGTCGTAATAAGTCTTTCCTGACCAACCTGTCTAAGATATTTCTCGTCTTACCACCTCATCCATCTCTGTGTCCTTATTTTGCTTTGTTTCTTCTTAGGACTTAACTCTGCCTCTGATCCTTTTACATTTACTTTTTGCTGCCTGCTTCATACACAAGGGTAAGGTCCCTGAAGATTCTTCAGAGGCAGTGCATAGGCACATGCAAGAGCTCTGGAGCCAGACAGAATGAGTTTGTATCTTGGGTGGCCTCTTTATGGGATGTGTAATGTTACTTGACAATTTATTCAGCTTCAGTTTTCTCCTTTGTAAAATGGGAATAATAATAATAATCAACCTCACATGGTCAGTGTGATGCTGACTGAGATAATACACATAAAGGACCAGCAAAGTGCATGTACATAATAAGGGGCCAACATATGTGAGATATTATCAGTATGATAACAACAGTTGGCAAATATTTCTTAAGTCTACAACTATCTCACAGTCTAAATGGTCACCTAGTCACAGTTTCATCCTTGAGATTAGAAAAAATAATGGAGAACCTAATAATAATGGAATGGCTATTTGGAACGGTGCCAAAATTTCTTAGACTACAGACTACTGGCGATACAGTATTTCCCAGAACCTTTCTGCCAGTACCTAAACTCTTTTATTCCACTCATTGTTTCTCAATCATCCCGGTAATAGTGGGGTTATTTGGCTATAAGAAATGTTATGGCAGATGTTTATGGTCTCAGAGGGGGTGGGATCTGTATAAGCATTTAATTCCACAGCAAGATCCCAAATTAGTGTCATTATTCTGGAGAGTATAACAGGGTGAAAATTGGCCCACAAGCCTCATTGGGGGAATGAAATGATGAGCTGGCTATTAGATAACCTCTAATGATGTTTTGGTATACACTTAAAAGAGAGGATGCTCTAAATAATTCATAGTGGAGAATAAAATACAATTGGAAGAGCCACAGAATTATATTTTCCACAAGACATAAAAGAATTTTGATGTAGCAAATTTAAATACTCTTTTAAAAATAAGTAATTGTCCACAGGTTGAAGCAGAACACATTTCTTCACATTTCCAAATTAGCAAACTGTAAAGATGGTTTCGCTTAAGGGAAAAAAAAATGAATTTGGGGGAATTCCTTGCCTTTGCCCTTCCTCCAACATCGGCTGACCCTTGCCCCTTCCCGTTCACTAACATCCTACAGCCTCTGCGCTCATCACAGCATGCCACTTGGGCCCTCTGCCCCAGATTCAGTCTCTTGTGGTTCTCTGATGTACAAGTATGCTGCCTGCCTTCCTTTCTTCATTAACAAAACTGATTGACTTTTTGGGCTTATGTAGCCAGCTGCTGCTAGAAAGAAATCCAACGCACGTCACAAGTGAGAATAACTGATAAGCTAAAAAGAGTTAGCTGGGTTTTATGCTTCTCTTGTGTCTCACCCTGCTGTTGGCTGCCCTCCCAGGAGAACTGTGTCTCATAATATGATGCTAATGGAACAAACCTTCAGGATGGAATTGAGACAGCTGAAGGTTGTGAGTTCCAAGGGACAGAGGGGCCAGGCCAGACGCCTCACTTCTGTGTCTACAAGAAGCCTAAGTCACAGAGGGTGCTCAAGAAATTAAAATACCAAGAGAAGACCCCAACTTGAGAAAAAGTAGAAGTGGTTTGGAATTGAACTCCTGAGACAGTGCTGGAATACCTGAGACCATGGGGACATGCCAGTCTTTCTGATATCCCTAAAATTGCAACCACCAATAAGAATAACCAAACTCAATCTACTTCACTATTTTAAACACAATTCTAAGTCATTGTTTTGCTTCCATAAACTGGCATTACCCCTGGGACTATAAACAGTTGCCCGAATGTCATTAAATGAGAGAAATTAAAGTAAGACACTCAGAAGAAAATATGGCTTTCCACATTTCTCCTGCCCCCCTGGCTTGAGAGCATGATGAAAATAACTCTGAGGTCAGAAAATGATGGCCACAATGCTTGGACTAACTG